CAGTGACACCGTTCATCATTCCCTTTATGACAACGACTTTGAGAAGCAGGAGGGTAGTATGGTTAAGACCTGAAAACCTGTCTGGCTGCTCTCAGAGCCCAGGAGCCATCATTTAACAAATCCAACCTCGGAACCAGCAGATGGCATAATGCCTGTGTCACTGGACTCGCACATACTCAACCACTGTTAGAGTCCCGGACCCAGCAGCTTAAAACTCACACCTGGTGCATGTAAAATCCCAAGAGGAGAATGGAGGAGAAGGGATTGCGGCATGACCATTATCCTTAGGGGGTGATTTCTCACTTTCTGTTTCTCTGTGACTCTCTGGCAAACACAAATGCCCTATAGCAAAAATCTCTCAAAAAAAAAAAATCCAACCATTCCCCCAATCCCTGCCACCCAACTGACACAGATGTCCCAGTCCCAGCCAACCTCCAATCTGAACACGTTCGCCAACCTACCCCCAGCCAATGCCACATAAGTGCAAAAGAACTCCCAGGTGAGCCTACCCATGCCACAGAATCAAATGTCTTTAGAAAGATACACTGCACACACTCGTCAAAAAGAAAAAGAAAATGTTGAAGTCCCAGGGGAGCGGGATGAAAACTTCAGTTCTTCAAAAATTGAATCCCTGGCTCTATTCAGAAGTGAGAGAAAGCAGATTACCAAAGAAAATGCAGGTGTGTTGGGGCCGGCAGTTGGCGTGGTGGTTAAAGGCGCTGGACTCCCACATGGCCGACTGCGGTTCGAGTCCCAGACCTGGCAGCTTGCTTTCTCAGTTTCTCTCTCTGACACACACTCTGTCCCTCTCTGGTCAAATTAAAATAAAGAAATAAAGTTAAATAATTTTTTAAAAAAGAAAGAAAAGAAAATACAGGTGTGGCACTGAGCAGTTAACACAGTGTTCCATGATGCCGAGGACACATGGGAAGGTCTCAGGTTCAATATCTAGAGGTCTCACTATACAAGTGGGCATGCATGTGCATAGGGGTGGATTATGGCATGAAGATCTTCTTGGGTGCATGTACCCACTCTGTCCCTGTCTCCCTCTTGGAGTGATTTAAAACAAAAAAAAAAGAAAGGAAGGAAGAGAGGGAGGGAGGGAGAGAGGGCGGGCGGAAGGAAAGAAGGAAGGAAGGAAACCAGCACTCAATACACCATCCGCAAATGCTACATATTGAATAAAGAAGCAAAAACCAAGAACATGATTTTTTTTTAAATGCCTGAAATAAAACTGGTATCTCATCATAGGTTACTTAATACAAAATAACGTCCAACTCACATTAGGAAGGTCCATGCTAGGCACTTAGTAGTACTGGTACTGGTTAAAAGTTCTCATCTATTCCTTAACGGAGAGAGACAGCACATTAATAATCCAGAACCTACAGTATGTCCTTTGCAATTTGCTTCATCTCATCTTCTGAAAGTCCTGTGTCAAAAATAACCTATATTTCTTATAAATACTTGTAATGGTAAATGATAATTTTAGGTTAAGAGTCTGATATCCAGGGGCCAGCAGGTGCCGTGGTGGTTGAGGCACTGGACTCCCACATAGCCAACAATGGCTAGAGTCCTGGATCCGGTAACTTGAAAATCACATCTGACATGTGTGCATGAATACCCAAAGTCCCATGAGGAGGGACCAGCAGTTGGCGTAATGGCTATGTTGCTGGACTCCCATGTAGCCAACCATGGTTCAAAGCCCAGACCCAATGCCTTAAACTCACAGCAGGTGTGCACGTGTGTGTGTGTGTGTGTGTGTGCCCAAGATCCCAAGAGGAGAATGGAGAAGGGATTGCGGCGTGGCCATCCCCCCTGGGAGGTAATTTCTCACTTTCTGTCTCTCTCTGTCTCTCTCTGTCTCTGTCTCTCTCTCTCTCTCCGGCTAGAGCACACACCTGATGGCAAAAACCTTATTAAAAAAAGATTCTGATAGCCAAAATAAGTTGTCACAGGTTGGTATGTAAAATGCTGCACTAAGAAGCCTGATAAGTCTCAGGACAGTAGTGCAGTATAGAGACTCTGGTACAGCACTGCTTGCTTCCATGAGCCAAAATGCATGCCTTCCTGAGACTGTTGTGTTTCTTCCCTGACTATGTAGGCCACAGGTACTTGTTAACTGTGATTTCACTAAATATTACATAAACTAATATAAAGTTTTAAAAAAATGCTCTGGCTAATTCCAAGGTAGAGCCAAGTTCCTGACCTCAGATCTGTAACTCACACTAAAAAAGGCTTTCTTCAGGGCTGGCAGGTGGTGTGGTGGTTAAGGGTGTTAGACTCGCACATGGCTGACCACAAAAATAAAATAATTCTTAAAAAAAAAAAATAGAAGGAACCAGCAGTTAGTGTAATGACTATGTCGCTGGATTCCCACGTAGTCGACTGTGGTTCGCATCCTGGACCTGGTGGCTTAGAACTCACGCCAGGCGCGTGTGTGTGCGTGCCCAAGATCCCGAGAGGAGAATGGAGGAGAAGGGATTGCGGCGTGACCATCCCCCCTGGGGGGTG